ATGGGCCATCTTCGATTCAGCTGCTCTAAGCGAACTATAAAAAGGAAAGGTGATCGATCTCGAGAGGGTAGTGCGGCTAACAGCACCGTCCAGCGCAGCGGAAAATCTCATGATAACGCAGATGCATTGTCAAGAAGACCGTGTCCTGAAGATTGCAAGCATTGTACTAGGCAAGAGGGTAAAGAAGTGGTATCTGCGAGGATATTCAGGACAGACCAGCTCAGCAATGAATGGAAGGACAGCCTAAAACATGCACAGCAGAAGATTCGGACATTAAACCGATTCTGGAATGGATGAAGGCCAGTGATCTTAAGCCAAAGTGGAGCGACGTCTCAGCGATGAGTTCGATCACTAAAAGCTATTGGGCCCAATGGGACAGCTTGCTGATTCAGGATGGAGTCCTGTGCCGTAAATGGGAAAATGGTCGGAGAGACAGTTGTCATTTGCAAATGGTTGTCCCTTTTTTTTTTTTTTGCGGATGGAAAATCATCAAATGACGCCTTTCACTCTGGGTGGAGCAGAAGGGAGTGTCAGACTTTTACTGACTAAAAACCATCCGTGTTCCTTCAGTGCCCTTACGTTCCGGAGCCGCGGTATCTCTTTCGAACAGCCCGCAGCCCCGGCAGGCGTCGGCCCTTGCGGGCCCCTTCACGCTGCTGACAGCTCTTTGAGGCGCGCGTGGAACAAAACGCGCCGTCGACACGGCCTGTCGTCGTTAGACGGACGGACGGCGAGCTACCCATTGCTCGCCGTCCACAGGCCCGCGCCTACGGTGGCCGGGGGCCACGACGTAGCCCCCGACGCCCGGGGCGTCTCCCGCGGCGGCCGGGAAGGAAAGCTGCTGCTCTCTCCTTCTCCCGCTCTGCCACCTCCTTCGCTAGCATCACTGCTTCGCAGAAGGTGGTGACGGCAACCCATTCCGTCTCGCTCCGGACCATGGCTTCGACCAGGGCCGGACGCGAGAGGTCGCCGCCGCCTATCGCCGCTACGAGGACACGGCGGTGCTCCGCCCAGGCAGGGCACACCTCCACGGTGTGCTCCACCGTGTCCTCCGGTCGATCTTCGCAGTGGGAGCACCCGGGCGTTTCCTCCCGCCCGATTCGGTGCAGGAACCTCCCGAACACACCGTGTCCGGTGAGGACGCCGTGGCGTCTCTCAAGCCACTCCTCAAAGAGGGGTCTTATCGCCGCTATAGTGGCGTGCCCAAAATGGTTGTCCCTAAGGCTAAAGTATCGGATGTTCTACAGCTGTACCATAGTGGTTGTTCAGGAAGCCACCTGGGAGTTAAACGAACTCTACTGAAGATCCGAGAACGGTTTTACTGGGTCCACTGTCGTGACGATGTCGACGACTGGTGCCGCAAATGTACAAGTTGTGCGGCTGTAAAGGGACCTCAAATTCGAAGTAGAGGCGCATTGAAATTGTACAATGTTGGTGCACCATGGGAGAGGATAGCCATTGACGTTGCGGGGCCGTTTCCGGAAAGTGAAAGTGGTAACAAGTATTTCATGGTTGTGATGGATTACTTCACTAAGTGGCCAGAAGTCTTCGCCATTCCAAATCAAGAAGCTTCAACAGTTGCAGATAAACTAGTTCATGAAATCTTCTGTCGTTTTGGAGTACCTTTAGAGATTCACAGCGATCGAGGAAGGAATTTTGAGTCTCAAATATTCCAGGAAACTTGCCGAGTTATGGGTACTCATAAAACACGAACAACTTCTTACCACCCACAATCTCATGGAATGGTAGAACGATTTAATCAGACATTGGAGAGGTACCTGGCAAAAGTTGTGGAAAAACGGCAACGAGACTGGGACAAGCACATAGAACCGTTTTTGTTGTCATATCGAAGCCCTGTTCACGAAAGTACATCAGTGACACCAGCTTTCGCAAACTTTGGAAGAGAATTACGGCTGCCTGCAGACCTGATCACCGGAATACCACCTGATGCCCCATGCAGTATAACCGATTATGCAAATGACTTGCGGAACAAAATTAATGACATTTATGAGCACGTCATACAGACGGGCCAGCAAACGTCTCAGAAGATGAAAACACGGTATGACCGCAAAATGAACAGCAAAGGGTTTGACGAAGATTCATTAGTGTGGTTACACAACCCAGCTCGCAGCAAAGGGAAATCTCCTAAGCTTCAAGCTAAATGGGACGGACCGTACCGGATTGTGACAAGGATCAATGACGTAACCTACCGGATACAGAAAGGTGCCAGAGATACTCCTAAGATCGTCCATGTGGATCAACTGGCGCGTTATTATGAGGCCAATAATGCTCGGGACGAGCATGTCTTAGGAGGGGGCAGTATTGCGCGCCACTATTAATGTCTTGTACATGGCAACACTAGTAACACTAGCGCCCTCTAGTGTCGAGTAGCAGAACTAGGAGAGTCAAGATCCTTCCAGAAATTTCGGGACCGATATGTACTCGAACATTCTAGATGTCGCTACAGTAGAAGGTTCTGGAAACTATCTGAGGCCCTATATAAGGCCGGTATAGACCACGACCGAGGCAGTATCGAATTGGCGATACAAGAGAATACTTCGAAGCGAAATAACTGCGAACTAAAGTGATTGTGTTTTATTATTAGTGTGTGTACGTTACACCTAAGAAGCTGCTGCTGATAATACAAATAAAATATGCTGCTTGAGGTAAAATATAAAATATATTTAAAAACTCCTAATAGCTAATGATGAGTATACGAACGCGCTGTGTGGCGATGCTACGAGTATGTGAACTGATTCGATGAACAATAACATAAGTATATGAGGAAAAATGCTGATCGGGCGATTTGTGCGGTTGCACCGTACATGCTCCCGGGCGAGAAGATGGGTGAGATGATTATGAGATGAGCTAAACTAAAACATACATGAGACCGACATAACACTTATCGGCTAATTTACAAGATGATGACCCGACAATTTCTAGCGATTTTTCCTAAAATTACATTTTAATAAAACTGGGGAAGTGTTTTTATGCACCGACTGATTAGGCTCACTTTGATTCTCTTGATCGGACACACTTGCACAATGATCACTTTGCTCTGCTTTAATACACTCACTATCACACTTCACATCTTTTAAACACACACACTTTACACTGGTGTCACGCTGACCGCTGGCTGAAGCTGGGTGAGCGGAGGCGCGGGCGCGTTTTCACTTCGCGCGCACCCACACCACGCACGCTGCTGCTAGTCCTGCCGCCACCAGAGAATAGATAATGGCGTAGTGATGTACATCATGATAGTTGAGGCTGTTCGCCTCGCTAACTATGACATCCGAAGCTGACCTTAACTCTTTAATCTGCCGGTCAATGTTTTCTATAGCTTGCCCGAAATTCTCTGACGCGTTACTTGTATTGATGGGTATCGATATGTTGATGATACTATTGACAGGCGCGATCTCTGGTGCAAAGATCACCGACTCGATATTAATCTCATTTGTCATTTGTTTATGAGGCGTAATTACTTGAGTATTTCCCCGAATGACGCAGTCAGTACCGAGAATTATAATGCTTACTCCCGCCACCTGTACTACGGTAACTAGATCTTGACATATGAATCGGAAGGTACATTGACCGCAACAATTAATTATATAGGAGTTTAGCTTTGTAAGCTTTCGCCATGTAGTCTGACATGTGCTGCTGATAATTTTACAAGTGTTTGATTGTTTGTTTTTAATACAAAGGCTCTCGTCCGTCTGTCTCTCGTAGACGGGCGTTTGAAGCTGGCAAAGATAATCCGAATAAACATTATTATTATATTCTATGTAGTTCTGAAAGTCGTTGTACGTCACAGGTATGAATGTGGCTTTCTTCAGGTTTATGGCTACGTGATCTGCAATATATAATAGTCATCTCTATTAGTGAGGGGAATCTGAATTTCGAAAATAAAATACTGGGTGGTTATTCTAGCTTTGACCTTTAAAATTTTGTACAGGTTGGATAAATTACTTTGGGTGCTATCTATCGTCGAAGTCGTTTGTGATTTCTACCTTAGATATTTCGGTTTTCATTGTATTCGATATTTTTTCTAAATTATTTAAATGCTGATTAAATGTCTTATATTGCTTTTCCATTGTGTTCTCGATTCTTTTTAAAATATTATTTTCCGCTTCTATAACTGATGTTTGATTTGTCCAAAGTTGTGCTAAATGTCTCTGATTGCCCCGAATTAATTTGATATCTTTTTCGTACTGGGCCGCAAACCGCTTGTCTAAAACGCCGATCAATGTATTAGCGACGTAGCCTACACCATTGATAAGGCCTCGACGCGCGCGCTTCCGATTATGAAAACGTTGATTGAGCAACATACGGTCATAATACTCTATAGTCCGTTCGCGTTAAGAAAATTGTGAGTCATCGTTGTCCGCCGGCCTGGCCACGCCCCGCAGCCAATTAAAATGCAAGAAATTAGAAAGTCGAGTTCACAGTGACCAGTTGAAGTCAGGCCTTTGAACAAAACGGTTGTGTATTTTGCGTGTTACTCGTTCAACATTAAATTTTGAAAATGAATACCACACCCTCAGATTATAGAAATAGACAGATAAAACATGCGCAACAAACGATGTGAAGCCACTTATTATTTAAGTGTGCGTGACAGCTAGGAGCGGCATTGTAGGGACACGTGCACCTATGTGTGTGTAAAGTTACCAGATATTGAGAAAAAACTCCCAATTTCCCAACTCCAAATTAAAAATGTGCATTTGCTTTATAGGTTATTAAGTAGTATTTGGACAGAATAATTATTTTCAAATAATTAATGATTCAATAAAAGTTAAATACGCATAATTAATTACATTTAATTGATTTTATTAATTTATATCAGACAATAAAAATACTTTATAACACTTTTTGGACATTTCTCTATTATCATATAATAGGTATATTATAATTGAAAAACATAAGTAATTCAATTACAACAGTTAAAGTTAAAGTTAGGTGTAAAAAATAATTGTAATAAACAATTATTTTACACACCTAAAATCTTAACAGCCTTTGTTTTGCACTAATTTCTTATAATATTGCCGTTTAGCGTCTAAACATCGAGCATTCGTTTCTAATTTTGCTATATAGTGCAATCGAACCATTAAATACTTTTCTATTAATAATTTTACCAGATTAATTTTGTGATCAACTCCATAACATTGATGATCATTCTCCAGATTCATAAAAATCGTTTGGTTGCCAATAAAACTCTTTAGAACCCGTGAAGTTACATGCCTATAATCATTTTTTGTTTTTATTACAACGTTTTCTTTTAAAATTTTTCGTATTACAATTTCAACCGCTGTACAAACTTTATAAGTGTCTATGGAAGGAAAAATTAAACCTCCTCTATCTCTCAAGCCAATCAATTTGTGAAAATCTTGTTTTTCCATAGATACCAAATGTGTCAAGCAAGATTCACATTTGATTTCTTTTCTGACGTACCGTATGACACATCCATCAATATATCCAACAATCATTTTTTTCATGTCATTAAAAACTGGCACATCTAAATCACAGAACACTAATACCCTTAGGCGGGATCTAAATACTGTGCTAAATTGTTGACATCTGTTGGCAAGTCCTTTAGAAAACTTAAAGAAACACTTTCAGAGTTATCAGTGTCTTCTTGTCGGTACGATGAAGTTGTTAAATTAATAATTTGTGTAGCGGAAGTACACGTCAATATTGCGATATTCTCCAGCGGAATGCAATTTCCAGTTTCTAGACTTCTCATTTCTAAATGCATTAACAATTTTCGATATATGGCTTTAAATTGTTTCACGTTTGGATTATCATTATGGCCCCCATGCATTCTGACGCAGCCAAAAAATATTTCAAGATGATCTTGGCTAAGTTTATAAGTAGGTAAAAACACCATACATTTTTCTTTTTCTATCAGACGCTCATAAAGTGACTTTAAACTTGATATATTTATCAACGTTCCCATAAAACCAGGTTTGCATCTTGTTTCCACAACTCTCTTATAAAATCGCGTTATAACGTACGTTGGTCGACGGTCTTTAATAACTTTTCTTTTGGTGATACTTTTTATTTGCAATTTTTGTATGTAATCCTGAAGCCGGTCCAAAAGTGCATAAATTTCAGTTTTATTTCCTTTATATATAGGTTTTCTGTAATCGAAATGGGCCATAGTTAGTGAGTTAAAAATATCAAACATGTCATTCATTAATTGAACAAATTCTTCAGTGGGTTGCGAACGTTTAAAATCTGGAAGATTTAGATCAGTTCTACAAAACTGCAGTGCTTTCGCAACACTCCTGCTTAGCGTCTGTGTAGCAAGCTTTACCTTCATAATTTGGTTTCTGAAGGAAATGTGTTTTCTAGAAAGTTTATTTGCCAAGTGTAGGCCCTCATCTTCTTGCAACTGGTTTAGTTTAGCTAAAAAGTTCCAGTCTACAATTTCTTCATTTTTATTTAAGAATTCTTTTTTTTGCTTCTAGCTGGTTCCGAAGTAATTTTATTACATGACTGGGATCTAAAAAGCATGCAACTTCGCTAGCATCTGAGGGGTGCTTAAATGTTGTTTTCATATTTTCAGTATCAGTTATATTACAACCAAGTAGCTCCATGGTAGTAAAATTTGTAGCATGCCCATCGAATGTTAGTGATACAACTTTGACTCCAGCTTCGTGACATTTCATGAGACATAGTTTAACTAAATTAGATTTCTGTTCCCCAGTCAAATTGTTTGTCAAAAAGTATCCCAAAGGTATCTTGAATCGCTGGTTTATTCCTACTAACATAAATACAAATGCTTGAGATGCCAAAATTGTAGACTCTGTTAATTCATCGCCCATATCGACAACCCCTATGTACCGTTTACCATCCCATAGCTTCTGCTGGCGCAACGCCATTTCATCAAACATAAGTGCGCAAATAAGTTTATGAGGAGAAGCTTCTGCCATTTTTTGCAACGCTGTGAATGCTTCTTGGGTAAATCCAGGTTCGCTTTTAATGTGGGTATACCATTTTGTCAACGTTTTAGGATGAGGCAGGCAACTATTGAAGGCTTTTCTGACGTAATCATAGCCTTTTGGAGAGTAAAAATTTAAAGATAAGCCAAATTTTCTGATGGCCGGGGAATATTTAATTATTTTTTTACCGGAGCTTCGCATGTGTAAATTATGAAAAAATTCAGTGGCTATAATATTCTCACTTAACAAGCTATGAGTGTCGCAATTTATAAAGTTTTTATCTTTTAAATCCTTTAAAATATTCTTTAGTGAATCATTCGTTTTTTTTAGTCGTCGATTTTTTTGTTGTAATGTTTTTAACTTATGTTTAGTAGCAACTCGCAACAACTTATGTTTTCTTAAATCTTTTCTTAATCGACTTTTTCTACGTGTATCGAATATAGAGTCCAGGTCCGAATCTCTAAATTCAGGTAATACAGAATTATCTTTAATAGATTTTTCGGGTAGTTGACTAGCTTCGAGTAAGTTTGAAGGACCAACTTGGTCCAAACTTGGTTTTTCCGGTGATGGCGGCAACGCGCATAAATTTTTGGTCGGTTTTGCACTTTTGTTAATCAATCGACGACCTTTTTCGGTAAAGTATACATCATCCTCTTTAAAATGCAATGAGCATACAACACAAAATTTTGAAGGCATCCAATTATTATCCTGCCTACTTTGACGAATAATAGTAACCCATTCATCGCGTAGTACTAGATCCGTCGGCAATCTGCAAAAACATAAGTCAAATTATTGTATATAACAATAAAATAGAGCGGCCGATAGAAAATCTCAAAATTGAAAAACATAGCACTAATTGGTGGGTTAAAATAAATAACAAGATTTTCGAACAAAGATATAATATATATACATAAGTTATTTCCGTATATAAATGTATAAATTAATCAATCCTCCTATGTCCAATGCACATTCCCCTAATTCAAGGAGACCTATTTCGATGTAAACTGGCAACACAGACCAATTGTTGACAATATTTTGTGTTCCGAGAGAGCCAAATATATTAGAGGGAACATAAATAACAAACCATTAAAATAAGCAATAGTTACCTGTGGAAAGATACTCCATCTTCTTTTCTTTGTTTTTGGGAACAACTTTTACAATGTTTAAAAACACAAGACGGCATGTTTTAACATAAAATAATAAATCACTTGTGACGTGTAAGCAGTACGACGCGTAGTTTAGTACTTCCCTATATATAATGTACTCTGTGGTTTAGTACTGACGCGAGATTGTATTCGCTTCTGAATTTGTATTTGCTTTCGTGGCTTCACTCTCGTGTTCTACGCGCTCCATCTGTCTATTTTTATAATCTGAGACCACACCTATTCGAAAGAATAAAAGTGGATCAATAATCCATAGTGGAGAGAGACGCGTAATTTTCAATGTTTATAAGTACTTTAAACTGTGTGATTTAAATGCGACTGTGGAGAGCACAGTAATAAAAACAGCAAGTGCATGTTGTATGTCCGAAAATACTGTTTATAAAATTATTAAAGAACAAAAGGATACTAACACATTAAAATCACCCGTGAAAAAAAGAGCTCGACTATCGACGGTCGATAAATTAGATGAACTAGACAAATGTGCAATAAGGAGAAAAGTTCACTCAATATATTTAAATAACGACTACCCAACATTGGACAAAATTATTCTATTAATTATAAATCTTTCATAATTAATGTAACTGGAGAATCTAGCGATACTGATTAGTGATTTAAGTAATTTTAAGAAAATTTGTTTCCATTAAACTTAATTAAATGTTTGAAAAAAAAGCATTTTTACTCCACTGTGAATACACCTTTACCCTGTAGTTGCACTGATGACTCACTATTTTCTTAACGCGAACAGACTATAGTTCGGTGAGCCCGTGTATCAGCTGTTGCAATATTATGTCACACTGCGGATTTCCTTCCGATTTATTACATAACTAGCTTTTTACCCGCGGCTTCGCTCGCGTGGTCTTCTTTTTTAGAAACATCATAATGTATTCCACGCCAAATTTAGTAAAGTTCTATCACTTTTAGAGTCAAGTCGGTGTCTGTGTATCTATGTCAGTTTTTCAAATAATTTTTTGAATTCCCAAAGACTATTGAACCTAGATGATCGAGGGACACGTGCAGAAATAAGTTTTTCAGAATTGCATTAATATCATATGTCTAGAAATATCTACAATTTTTTTATATTGGACCTGTGTTCCGATGTATCTATCCATAACAAAGATAAATAGTCTTGGAATCCAAATTTACTATTATTATTTACTCTTTACATTCATTCATAATTTATTTTTATCAAAATAATGATGAGTTCATGGTCTTATATGCGATATTTGATTCATATCATTGTTTTCATTTAATATTGATTGACACCATAAAATAGATTCTGATTTTTTTCTACATTCGAGTAGACTTCAGCATTTCATAAATGCAGTTCGGATAATGATGAATACTACACATATTATAAAACAAATTATAATAAATTACGTTACATTTTAACTTCTCTTTAAGCGGGTTGTACAAAACACATCTTTGGAAGAAAGTTCCATAAAAATTTGCGTAAAACAACGTATTGCTGATGTGAAGCACCGACGCTCCGAGAAGTCTGAAAGTGTGTCAACATGTTGAGTATCGTCCCAACAGTTATATCAGATCTGATAGACAACAAATAAACCCCCGCCGCCTCTCCATGGGTTCTGTATATTGCCCGAAACGTCATCAATTAGGTATAAAAGTTAAAATTAAACACGCTAAAATCCTTATGATTCCTTTTATTGCAAATGAAGTTCTATTCGCAGTGAACGTGGGTAGAACTACACTCATGATCGAAAGCAGAAAAATATTCGCCTTGTTGTGGCGGCGAAAGAGAATCCGCCACCTCATATCGTTCCGTGTGTGTTCTAAGAGGCGATAGAGGAAAACAAACAGGAGATGGGGAACATCATGTTCCTGACAACAGTTCAAAATAATAAATGCTGCGGATGCCAACCTGTCTGCCAAGCGTGGCCACTATAGCAAATATCCAGCCTATTTGACAAGTTATGGGGGAGACTATGGAGTTGTAATGATAACGGTGATGAGTTCTATTCTTACGAATCTTTGCTACCGTTAATATTTACGGTAGTGTGAAAACAAAAACGTAACATCTCCGAAAATATAAATGATACTGGGAAACTTCTCAAATAATCAGGTTTTCTTTCACCGCCGAGAACGTGGTAAATCGACACTTCAAATTGCATTTAACATATATGTAAAAATATATAATAATTTTTTTTTTTAATAGGATAGGGTGACAAACGAGCACACAGTTCACCTGATGGTAAGTGGTTGCTGTGGCCCATAGACATCTACATTTATCCTCGTTTGTGAATCAAAATGCAGATGCGTTGTCACTCGTGAGGACTAAGATGGAATGCCTCTTTTTCAGTAAAAAGGGTCTCCGGTTCTCTACACTCACCATACGAAACACGTGAAAGCGTGGTCCTTCCCCGGTCGAGCCGACCCATTCGTGCTACAACTATACTACTAATATAGCTGCAGCATGGCTCTACCACGTGTAAAAAATAATAAAATAATGCTTATGTACTATGAAATTTACCTTTGCCTTTGGCAAGTAAAATAGAATATATCTTTGTTTAAGTAAAATCTGCAATCTTCGATATTTAAAGTTTTAGTTTTTTCGCAACAGCCTGTTCATTTCCATATCTAATGTGAGCTATGAAACCACTACTGTCACAAAAATCTTGATTTGTCTGATAATATGAACACTCAAAAATACAACAAACTGATTTATAAGTCTCATTAAAGGTATAAAAACTAAAGTAGCAGCTTACATACGTCTCACTACTGTGCACACGGCTCCCCATTACCTATAGTGTTTGTGAGCAGAAAAGAGTATGTCGCAATCCTTCAACTACTACTCCGACATTTAGGTTTGCCCACGAAGTTTTTCTTCACCACTTCACTGGGTACCTATGTAGTAAGTCAGTACGTAAAATTTCCCATAACAGATTCATTTGTCCTTCCTTATATATTACTATACTCTTTGCATTTGTCCTCAAAGGACTCGTACACGTTTTGCTCCCTTGCCGTGATGAAATCTCACGGCAAGTTACACGGCTCTCGTATTTGTTTAAATAAAATTCATTAAAACTGAAACAAAGCTTTTGTACCATTGTTGACCATATCTACCGAGTAATTAGAAACCCAACGATACCACGAACTATTCCATCAAATAGACATAAAATCACACAGTGCACTCAATTTCCAATTATTTACATCAGATAACATATGAAGCAGGTAAAATGAAACCTATGCCGACAGACAAACAATATATTGAACTAAAGAGCTTCTCTCCTAATCAGTTTTGTGTACAACAGTGTTGTTAGCCATTTTGCCAAACGTGGTTATTGTGGTAAATAATCCCGATAATGACCACCGGTCTTGATATTTTTAATTGTGACAATTTTTGATGCTGCACGAATAAGAATTCGGTAGCGTTGTAAAATTTAATTTTATCAGTTACTTATCATTAGTTTATTTAGAGAAAGAAGAGGGCGCTATATTACATTAATACTATGAAAGTCAAAACTATACTATCTATTAATATCAGCTATAGAAGAAAAAAGGCTTATGAGCCACTCCAAAACCGGGAACATTTATTTATTATATAAAAAAGGAAATAAGTGATGTTGATTCTGTTAAAAATCTGTTTCCGTTAAAACACACGCTATCAGCGCCGCTAGCGTGAAAAACTATTTGACGATATGAAGATATTGTCATGAAATGGCAATATTGTGTTAAGTTAGTGATATCGTTAAACGTCTTTGTTTGGCTAAGCTATATTATGACATACTACGTGTTCACTTCATGAATGCCGTTACCTCCCGCCGCGCTCCCTCATACCGCGCCTCAACCGTCGCCCATATAGTACCGATAGCAACACTGAAATGTATCTACTGTTTGTGCTCTAGTGCGATCTCTTGTTTGTTACTGTTTTTGTTGTTGTTTTTGTTACTGTTAATTTTTTGTTTCGGTTGGCTTTTTACGTTCGTTAATTTGTGATAAACACAGAATGTAGTGATGGCAGTGATACAGGGACGAACGATTTTGATAAAATAACTGGTATGGAAGTTATGGATTACAAATAATTACCTGCTAGTTTTTCTTCGCGTCTTCGTAAATAATTTATTTAGAATATATAATAAAACTTTAATAAAAATATTTTATTTTATCGGACACGTTTCTATTCAGTATTATTATTTTACTTTACTAACTAAATAAATTATTCAATAATATGCATTTTATCTACTTGCTTGCCCTCCATTTCTCTGTACAGGACAACAAACTAAAAATCGAACTTCATACAATAGTTAAAACACTTACAATAATAGTTTTGTCTACGGTACCGTCAGCTGTTACGTCATAACGGTCGGCGACGGCAAACTCGAAATGAACGCGTAGTACATGGTCAACAAACAGTGATAAATATCATGAAATGACATCATTTCACGAAATAATGATTTCATGATGATTTTGCAATAATTGCAGGACGGACCAGTTTTAATCAGTTTACATACAGATATAGTATTAAACGTATGAAAATTGATATGTTTTTTAGTTCAAAATAATATAAATGTTCATACGTTTGATAGATGATGTCATGATGTTTTTAGATAATAGATGTCACTTTTATTTATTATTTTTTAAATTTTAATTATTGCACTTTTAAAATGAAATAACGATTAAATTAAGACTTAGGATGTTAAAATAATTTTATTAATGTAATTATTTAAACATAAATGTAAGTTATTTATATAATTTATTAGTTACTAAAGGCAAAATGAAGGCTTTTTTCATTTGATGATAGATGGCGCTGTTTTGATAATTAAAACGTATATCGTCAGCGGAGTTTCAAATTGTTATGCAAAGGTTAAAACTAATTTAAACTAAATTTACAAATATAATATTTCTTTTAAAAACACCCGTCATCGCGCCTATTAACTAAAATAATCATATATAATAGAAAATTAACATCTAAAGGAAGAAAAATACTTAACCTTCTTTTTTAAGTTTCGTAATCGGACTAAAAGTAGCCTATAAGTTGCCCCGGGGTACTAACTACCTACATATAAAATTTTATGGAAATTGGTCCAGTAGTTTTTGCGTGAATCGGTAATACACAGACAGACAAAAATTATAAAAACCACTAATTTAGCTTCAGCACACTTTATTTAATTTGGATTGTAATATGTACTTGTTTTTTCAAAAATATGTTACAATTACAGACACGGCTTTTCTACAGATTTATTATATGTATAGATTGGTGTGAACATAGAATTCGGAGAAAAATAAACTTACAAATTTTGTTAATTTACATCACAACCAAGAAATATTGTATTTTTTACAAATAATTCAATGATACAAAACACTAGATATATTTATCTATCTTATGATGCTTAGATGTTTATGTTTAATTAAGAATAAGTAGTTAAATAAATCGAAACAAAACACCTACTCGTCGTAATTTTACTGCGAGGTCTCGATCGCTTTCGACTCGCTCGCGAAGGCAAAATATAAGCAAGATGACCGCCTATCTAAGGTCTCATTACACTTTGTAATTTCAACAACTTTAAAAAAGTTAGTTATGAGTATTTTTAGATGAAGTTTTAAATTAAACGCCAATAATTAAATCAAGTTTATTGACATAATAAACATTTTTTTTTTCACAAAACCATATTATTACCATACACTTTTTAAACAAATTGTGCCAAGCGAAAACCATATACCTACGGAAAAAATTATTGATTTTTATTAAATATGAGAATTAAATTATTGTCAATACATAACAAGGAAAATCAAGTGAGTTGAAATCGTAGAACACATCCTCCATATGACTAAAGTGAAGTTAAATAAAAAAGAGAGCAACAGTCGTCAATCGTAAACAAAAATAACATTATTATAACACAAGAACAAAACCTATGAGATAAGAGCATGACGAAACACCAAACGAAAAAAAAAAATTCATAACCCAAACCAACCAAGACCCAGGCGGCAAAAAATAACAAAGCAAAAAATATTGCAAACATATTTTGCTGTTTGTACCGACCCTTATTTAGAACCATTGTGGATATATGTCCATGGATACCAAACTATCCACAACAAAAGACCCGAGGAACACAATAACATTTTTAAGGAATCTTCAGTGAATACAGTTTAATTCTGTTTTTAAAGTGCATTGCGTGTGGCGTATGACACACGAGTCGTGTCTTTTTTAAAATCGTTATAACTCGCTCAAATTGCGTTTATGGAAAATTTATCCAGAACAAAATATTCATTATTTTGCAAGTAGTTCATGCATGCGGCTTCGTTTCTGGATATTTTGAAAATTTGAAATTTTAGGGGTTGACAACCTTTTTTTAACTTGTACATGGTACTCTTTTTACTTTATGGGTTTTCAATCATGTTGTGGAAAAATAGTCTAATAAGTAACAAATAATAGCACTCATTGCGATCGCTCACAAACTCTACTTGTAAATAAATTTCTGGAAAACAAGTGTCCTGTTAAAAAAAAAACAATGCGTTTGTCTTATTGTTTAATTTTGTTTAAAATGGTTGAACTGCCATCGTATTACTATCATATGGCCGAATAGACCTACGAAATACCATGTACTGTTGAGATATGGTATAAGGTTTATTTTTGCTTGAAACAGTTTGAAACTGTTCACGCATAAAAAAATTCGCTAATAAATAGTCTTTCGTCAATCTGCCGCCGTATAGCGCCGGCGTTTGTTTCCTTTTGAAAACACTTGTTTTGCTATTCTTACTAATTAGACGTTTTCGAATCGACTTTACTTTTACATTTGTATAACATTAAATAATATTTAACATTTGTAAATATTAATGAATCATAAACCTTATTTTTTTCCAAATTAAGGTTCTTGATTGTTTGATATTTACAAATATTATTATTAGGTGAAAATTTAATTTAATAAAAACCAAGGCTTTCCAGGGTGATTTAGCTGTACCTACTTATATAAATATTTTTTTTATAAAACAATAAATAGTGCAAAAGGTTTGTAATCTCTTCATAAAAAAAGTCACTTACTCTCAATTTCAAAGAAAACACGTAAAAAAACACAAGTATCCTTCCATTTCTAACTTATGTTTAATATCAAATAAACTTAATTAGGTCTAAACATGTAAAAAAAAAAGCATAAAAAAGAACATTACTTTTACACATGGCTGATGGGACAATGGGCGTGTCATTAATGTCTATGGCGCTTGACACGCCAGGCATGTCATGAAATATTTGTTCGCCGCCACAGCTAAAAGTTGTTGAAAATTGGTGCCGCAACGAATCGGTTAAATATAATTTTACTGAAAAACAAAATAAACAAAATTAAAATTGGGCCGACGACTTCACAATGGCCATTTTTTTTTAAACAGTTATAGTTTTTATTTAAAATATGATTCGATTTTACACTTAGAACTGTGATATGTATACGTAATTATAAAGCCCAAATCATCTAGTTTACTATGATGTATAATAATCTAAGAAATATTAAATAAAACTAAAAGACTTACGACATAATCGCTGGCACTACAAAAACACAAAACACACGACTGAAGCACTGAAGTTAGACAAATATTTGTTCATTCTTCAAGGCTTGTTACACTGCCATCTCGTATTTAGTACTTAAAATAGTTCGTCAGCTATCGACTCCATGTATAAAACTCACAAAAATAACCGCAGCTGTCCATAGATGTCAGTTTTAGAAAACTTGACGCTATGGATACTATAGTATCCAGGACGCACAACGCTACTTTTATTTTGGATACCGTAGTATCCATGGACGTTTGAGTGGTTAGTCGACTGCGAGCGGGAGGGAAGACTAGTTCTTTGTTTTGTAAACCGCGATCGTTGTTTTCGACAATCTAACACTGATTTTGTTTAATGTGACTAAGGATACGCTGTCATTATTTATGTGCGCAGTTTGTCAACGTGATTTGAAGTTTATTTCATATAAGTATTGTTACGAGCTTGGGGTTCGAGATAATTAAAAACTGCCGAGTGAATTACCAAAATTGACTATTTAATTACACAACACTAATTATAACTTAAAATCACACTAATAATAAAACACAGTGCGCCGTTATTTCGCTTCGAAGTATTCTCTTGTATCGCCAATTCAATACTGCCTCGGTCGTGGTCTATACCGGCCTTATATAGGGCCTCAGACAGTTTCCAGAACCTTCCACTGTAGCGACATCTAGAATGTTCGAGTACATATCGGTCCCGAAATTACTGGAAGGATCTCGACTCTCCTAGTTCTGCTAATCGACACTAGAGGGCGCTAGTGTAACTAGTGTTGCCATGTACAAGACATTAATAGTGGCGCGCAACACTTTCTTTTACTCGACACTAGAGGGCGCTAGTGTAACTAGTGTTGCCATGTACAAGACATTAATAGTGGCGCGTAACAGTATGTAACGTATTTGCCTAAAAGCAGTAACTGTCGTAAATGAAAATATAACCGCGTGCCATATTTACCGTGCCGGCTACCCGCGATCCACAGCTGTCACACGGTTTTTGTTCTGAATTGCCGCTCGAGTAGTACACAAGTCTTTCACTTATATAGAATTTAACAAAAAGTTCAAACAATCGTGAAGATACATTTCACTTTACAACAACACCTAACTAAACAAAGCCTCTGCAAGAAAACTGCCTTACAGTACTTAAACTGTAAAGTTTTTTAGTACAAGTCAAGGTAAAACTAATAAAAACAATGTCCACACGTTAAAATAAATAACAAAATCATTTCCTCCATTAGCTTAAGATAATCTATAAGATCAAAGTAAACCTAAGATAAAAAAAAACCAAAAGTAGTGATGTAAATGTGTTTCACTTTAATTTATAGTTAGCTGCCACGGCAGGAGTTTAATGTTTCAGTTTCACTCCGAATTCAGTCTGATCATTTTACAGTGTAAATATGAAATGAATTAATAACTCGGCTACAAATCCCATCTCGTACGGAATAATAGAACGAGTAAAAAAACCTTTCCGTGCCTTATGTGCTAATTGAAACTGCATTTATTCTGAAGAACTGATTCAAAAACAAAAAAAAAAAACCTTTCAAATATGAAACAAATGGGAGGTTAGTGGAAACAGACCAGACCATGTTTTTTTTTTATTTAATTGATTGCTAATGTTTTTCCTTTTTTCGTTTCGACGTTTATTGTGTTCTTGTTAGAGAGCCTATTAAAGTCAACTGCTGATGCTGAACATAGGCCTCATCCATAGATTGCCTCATAGGGGGGGATATTTGCCATAGTTGCCACGCTTGGCAAGCGGGTTGGCAACACAGTTTTTTTTATTTTCTTAGGAATACGGTGCTGCACATCTTCTGATTTGTTTCTTTCTATCGCCTCTAAGACACACACGGGATGATAAGGGCTAGTGGATATTCTTACATCTATATCTATATATTATATCTAGGCGACAGAGGAAATAAACCAGGAGATGGGCAGCAGCGTCTTCCTAGTAACAAATAAAAATAAATAACCGCGGTTGCCTACCCAACATGCATGGCAACTATGGCAAATATCCCCCCTATGAGTCAATCCGTGGGGAAGGCCTATGTTCAGCAGCGGACTTTTATAGGCTGTAACGGTAACGATAAATGTCGAAACGAATAAATAAAAACAAACTAGTATGATTTAAATAAAATTAAAAAAAAAACATGAAGGTCTGGTCTGTTTACACTAACCACTCGGTACATATTTCAAGGTTCGATTTCACTTGGTTGCCTCTTTGGTTTTTGAATCAGCTTCTTCAGAATAAATGCAGTTTCAATTAGCACATATGGCACGGAAAGGTTTTTCTACTCGTTCTACAGTTACATAAGGAACTCATGACAAATGGATTTTTATCTAGTATACTTTTATATTTATATAAAACACGTTTACATAATATTGCACATATTTTACCAGATCTCTCACAAAAAAGGTTCTGCTCAAGTGTGTGTTTTCATATGCCTTTGCAAATGACTTTTTGTAATACATTTATATTCACAGATATTACATGAAAAAGGTTTTTCTCCAGTATGTATTTTCATATGCTTTTGCAAATTATTTTTTTGAATACAATGATATTTGCAGATATTACACGAAAAAGGTTTTTCTCCAGTATGTATTCTCATATGTCTCTGCAAATTATCTTTTCTAATACATTTATATTCACAGATATTACATGAAAAAGATTTTTCTCCAGTATGTACTCTCATATGCTTTTGCAAATTACTTTTTTCTATACATTTATATTCACAGATATTACATGAAAAAGGTTTTTCTGCTGTATGTATTTTCATATGCTTTTGCAAATAACTTTTTTCTATACATTTATATTCACAGATATTACATGAAAAAGGTTTTTCTCCAGTATGTATTTTCATATGTCTTTGCAAATCACCTTTTGTAATACATTTATATTCACAGATATTACATGAAAAAGGTTTTTCTCCAGTATGTATTCTCATATGCTTTTGCAAATCACTTTTTGTAATACATTTATATTCACAGATATTACATGAAAAAGGTTTTTCTCCAGTATGTATTTTCATATGCCTTTGCAAATCACTTTTTGTAATACATTTATATTCACAGATATTACATGAAAAAGGTTTTTCTCCAGTATGTATTTTCATATGCCTTTGCAAATCACTTTTTGTAATACATTTATATTCACAGATATTACATGAAAAAGGTTTTTCTCCAGTATGTATTTTCATATGTGTTAGCAAATGACTTTTGTAAATACATTGATATTTACAGATATTACATGAAAAAGGTTTTTCTCCAGTATGTATTTTCATATACTTTTGCAAATTATCTTTTTTTATACTTTTATAATCACAATTATTACAACAGTACACTTGTTCAGCGACGTGCGCGTTAAGATGTGCCAAAATGCGACCTTTTTGAGATGTTTTAAATTCGCAAATATCACAATTAAATATTTCCGTTAGTTGTGGTACTGGAGTTTGTTCAAGTTGTGTCCGAACTGCAGTGGTGTTATTTTGGTTCTTTTGCGTCTTATGACTGTATGAAATGTGTTTGGCAAGAATGTCTTTTGTTGAAAATTTTTTGCTACAACCATCACATTCAAAAATGTATTTTGTTGATGCCCCTGACGTTCTTTTCGTGAGTATATTTACACTCTTTTGTTTCAATATTTTCTTTCTCATAATATTTGCAGGATGCTTTCCTTTTTTATTAATTGGTTGATTATCTTTTTTGACTTTAGGCTTTGATTTAATAGTAGGGCTTTCTAAATCAAGGTTTCCTTTACGAACATCGTTTATGTTACAATCAGTAGAATTTGATTTAATCTTGCTCTCAGACGCTTTTGAAAAATGATTTGTCGGTATGATGTATGGTTCTGAAATACGCACGAATTGAACATTTAATTTATTATAAGTAAAACTTTTTATTGTAAGACACCTTAAACGCATTCTCTATCAGTCAACCAGGGAGAAATAGATAAATTATAAAATTACATAATTATACAATGTTGCTAGGGGGCGTTCAAGTATTACGTAACGCAATTTGGGGGGAGGGGGGTTCGACCAACGCGTTACGTAACATTTTTTTTATTTCAATAAAAAACAATGGATTTAAAATCTCCCAAGTTAGCAACCCTTTTCTTTTTCGTAATCTTTTTTGTCTATGTTTTACGGGGAATCCCTCGACTGTATTGTACGTCATTTTTATTTTCTTTTCGTTATCAGTATTCGTTTTACGCAGAAGCACATTGCTGTAGTCAGTGTTGTTACAAGTGAGTTCATACTGTAATGTCCTCAAAAGAATAAGATTTGCATCATTGGCTTTTCTTGGCATATAAAGGCTCTCATGCTAACTTGCCAGCGCAACTGTGCCAAACGAATGCCAACGAAATTTGGAAAACGGCTAAAGAAAAACTAAAAAATAAAGAACAGGTTATAGAACATATAAATGATGCTATACGAGAGTTCAAGGTGGCCAAAAAGGCCACGAAGGAGAAAGCAACTATGCTTAGAATTTTACACAGGTAAGTTTACTGCTAAAATATAACAATATTACATATTCTAGGTAGGTATATGATATATAAACCAAACTTAGATATTTCGTAAAAAAACTGGTCATAAGTATTATATATTTTTAGCTACCTATCCAAACATCAAGCACGCCAGCAACACTATAGTCAGCAAGGCCTAATGTTCCAACGACTTCGCGTACTCTTCAACAAAAACGGGTGCGTGTACATACGTGAGCAGGCCGACAAGTCAAGAACTTTGCCATTACACACTTCAATAAATACAACTTGGTCGCCTTGTTCATAGCGACTGATGCTCCTGGGCGAAGCGCATATAACCGAGTAGAGCGGAGAACGACTGTCAGGCGTCATCCCGCCGCATGAACATTTTTTTTTTATAGAAGAGGGGACAAATGAGCATGCGGCTCACCTGATGGTAAGTGACTACCGCCGCCCATGAACAACCGCAACACCAGAGGAATTGCAGATGCGTTGCCGGCCTTTTAGAAAGGTGTAAGGTCTTTTTTTGAACATCCCTAAGTCGTATCGGTCCGGAAAAAAATCGCCGGTGGTAAACAATTCCACAGAGAAGTTGTACGAGGAAGAAAACTCGTGAGGGCTAAGATGGGATGCCTCTTTTCCAGTAAAACGCGTCTCCGGTTCTCTACACTCACCATACGAAACACAGCAGTGTTAAACTGCTATTTGACGCTGGTATTCTGTGAGAACGTGGTCCTTCCCCGGTCGAGTCGACCCATTCGTGCCACAACTATACTATTAATATAGCTGCAGCATGGCTCTACCACGTAAAATTATTAGGACTAATTTGAGCCCATTTTAACATATTTTAAACTTAAGCAAATGTTTATTACATTGTGTGATTGTTTATTAAATAACAATATGAATAAATAAAATAAACAATAAACAATGTATTGCGAGGAAGAAATCTCGTTTTATTTATTATTACCGCAAACGCGAATAAAACAATAACAAAGTTATTTTAGCGACTTTCCGGTAATTTGCGCAGTTATTGTGACTTTTAGGTAAAAATGGTCAATTGGGTGTTACGTAACGTTTAGGCGCGAGGGGGGGGGGGGGGGGTCTAGATAAACATTACGGCGCGTTACATAGGGGGGTGGGAGGGTCAAAAATCTTCAAAAATTGCGTTACGTAATACTTGACCGGTCCCCTAGATATAAAGTATTTTACTTTTAATAATGTCTCTCATATTCATTTTTGGAGGGAAAGAATGGTAGAGAAACTAAATTCGAATGATAATGATGACGTTCTTCTCACCATGTTACAATTACCTACCTTAATCTAATAATAGATGCTTCGAATCGCACACGGGACAAGCATTATACAGAATGATTGGAAGATTGACTTGTTGATTGGAGAAGATCATTTAGGCCATAGTTATTTTAGACAAAGTCTGACTATACTTTTTGTTTTTGGTGAGAAAACTAAAAATTTTACAGTTAATTGCTAATAATTGCCAATTTAATTAACGTGTTTTTTTTTAAACTTAAGTAATGAATGAGAAATCTAAGAAAACATAGTCTCAGCATCTGTGTCATCAGACATATTTTTGTACAGACACTAAGTTCACGAAAATTTTCTACGATTTAAAGAAACATAATTAACATTTTAAATAATAAACATTTGTGACACTATGTTAAAAAAGAAACTGATGGTACTTTAATTTATTGTTAGAACCTTTTTGAAAACATGCTTGGTTATTACTCTTTCATTTGACGTATAACTTACACGCATTTGTTACAAATTTTTCAATTGTCCCCTAAAACCAGATTGAGGTAGAAAACTTAAATTTTTAGGCAGACTAATAAAAATTCTAATTATTTATTTGTTGATGCTCAAAATAATTGATGCGATTACTAACACAAGCACGGGCCCGTCGTCTCACTTCTGTTGTAGATACTTTCAACATCATGGTTTCAAATGCTGAAATAATTCTTTGAAATTTGAAATTCCGGCCACATAGCTCGAAGAAATGACAATGAATGAGGAAGTTTTACGAGTGGCAGCCCCGTACCAGTAGACAAATTGTAGGGCGGCCCTCCATTAGATGGAATGACGACCTGGTAAGAAATGCAGGAAGGCGATGGATTCCTGTGCTTTGTGGCATTCCGTGGGTGAGACCTATGTTCAGCAGTGGACTTGTGAAGGCTGTAATGATGAAGATTTAATGATGCAATGCGCTCATCTTTTCATTTTAATTTTTATAGGATAGGGTGACAAACGAGCACAGTCCACACGATGGTAAATGGTCGCTGTGACCCATAGACATCTACATCTGTCCTCAATAAAGAATCAAAATACAGGTGCATTGTCACCCATGAGGACTACGATGGAATGCCTCTTTTCCAGTAATAAAGGTATCCGGTTCTCTACAATAACCATACAAAATACAGCAGAGTTAAGCTGCTATTTTACGCTGGTATTCTGTGAGAGCGTGGTCCTTCCTCATTCGAGCCGACCCATTCGTGCTATAACTATACTACTAATATAGCTGCAGCATGGCTCTACCACAACTAAAATGGAATGACCCACAGCCTGTGATTATTCTGACTCTATACCCATCAGAATGGAACACAGCAGTGCACGCACTGCTATTTGACGGCAGAAATAGGTAAGAGGAGGAGGAAAGAGTCCATCTGGGCAGGCACAAATAGATCAACTCCTAGGCAAACATGGAGTCACACCACCTAGTACTGACACTAAAAAGATGGCAAAGATAATTGGTTGCTTACCAGTATGTATCTTAGTGACATACATACTAGCTGACAGGGTAAAAATATTTTTTTAATGTATTAATAAGAGTGCTTTTGACATGCACTTTGAATTTAGACAAAGGCAAATCAGTAAATCAGTACATTACACATGAAGCCCTCTTTATTTTGTGTCTACGGGCTACAGTAACCACTTGCCATAAGGTAAATTGTACCTTATTTTAATAATATCAAGGAAAGGGGTATATCTTACCTGTTTCATGATTCTCATTTTCTTCAAATTTGGAATTCTCATATTCGAAAATCTCTTCCTCAATTTTAACGGCATCAAGGCAAAAAATTTCGTCCTTGCAATCATTGTCTATATCACACTCTACAGGCCAGATATCTATATGATAAATTGGTGTGAATTTAATCTCACCTCTAACCTTATGCGGTTTTGGTATTGACTGAAAGGAAATAAGTTTTTCAAATAAGAGAAAAAGCCACTTTATGTGGTGGAGTAGGAGAACCCATACTACCCCCTGCCATCCCGCAGATGTCGTAAAAAGGGGCAGAGGGAAACTGAAACAGGAGATCGGGGGGCAGCATCTTCCTGACAACAACTTCAAATAATAATAAACACCGGATAAAAGTGAGGGTTCGGAGTAAACTTAAATAAGAATGTACATAGTTCATCTATCCCGAGAATCGAGTCTCAACAATTTTTAGATTCAGATTCACAAATGCTGTAAATTGACAAAGATTTATCTTTGTTTATTGAGATTTGTTTATATACAATAGGGTAATATATAACAGTTTAAACAGTTTGATAATTGTTTTTGTAAAAATAAGTACTATGTCCTTCAATCCAACATACTTTTTTGTTAGAGCAAAACTTAATTTTGCACTAGAAACATTCTCCCATATGGCAATGGGAAGCAGCATAGAAAAGTGGATTGTGCAGTGACAGTGTAAGAATATCCACTATCCTGTATATATCTACCCACAGGATGGGTGTCTTAAGAGCCAACAGAAGGAAAGAGAAACAGGGGTTGGGCAGCACTATCTTCCTGATGACAATTCAGACTAATATAAACTATGGTTGCCAACTTGCCAAGTGTGGCAAATTTGGCAAAATCCCTCCTATGAAGCAATCTATGAGTGAGGCCTATGTTCAGCAGTGAAATTTTATAGGTTTTAATGGATGGAATGGATAATACCATGGATCCTCCTGAAAGCAACTGCTCCAGAATCACATTTGACTCAATAGCCTGTTGTTGTAATCTTCTGCAACGAATGAGTCTTGCATGACAGGTGAAACAGACAATTATGGGCCCCTCATTCTCATCCAACTGAAAATATGAAAATCTTCATAAATATGGAATACTACTTAAATATATAAGTTTGTAATAAAATCTATTGGCTACCACATTTAGCTTTGTCAACACCATTTTTTATAATATTGAAGTGACAAATAAACTGACCATCTAGTAAGTGATTAATGGGCACCATGGGCACCTGCAACAAACTTCAAGCAATGGCTACAGATGCAATGTTACCTCTGAGGACTAAGATGTAATGCATCACAGCCTGGCTCTCGATGTCCTTCACACTGGGACACATACTGCTGCTTGGTGCCAGGAAATGGTAAGATGATGGTATCTAGGCAGAAAAAAACTCCTACAGTTCCAAGCCACCTACATCCATCAACTACATTACCTACATTAACTTCAAACTGCTATCATCACTAAGAACATTACAAATACATCTCTCATCACTCTAAGTAAACTGATAATGCTTGTGGTAGGAGGATATGGAAACATAACACAGGGTGGTTGGTGGTACTTCACATTCTGTGAAAGTGTAGTACCACCCCGGTCGACCCGACCCATCCATGATACAACCATAATATAGCTGCAGCCTGGCTCCACCACATATAAAATAATGATAATAAATTTTTCTACTCTATTCTCTCACTTTAATAGTCGAATAGAACTGTTTTAATTGGCTGAACAACCAAACCAGGGTAAATGTTAATTTCTTGATAGAAAATCACAATAATACTCATTCAAGGAATATGTACTAGAACAGACACCAGGAACAAAATCTATGCAGGTTGCATCGAAGGAGGCCCAAGGCACCTTTTTGTGGCACAGACTCAGTAAATTTGGGCCCTCGGACTCTAACGCGTGTTGCAAACAGTCTCAGTGTATCTTTTAGTATGTAGTACAATTAAGCCCAGGGTGCACTAGGGACCATTTTGTCCCACAACATGATGTGGAACACTCAATCTACATGACAATACAACATTGCACAGTGACCCAGAACATTGTAAGTGATGAGGGACATGTTGCTTGTTCCCTCTCCTCGAGCGAGTGCACATGTCCAGCATCAATGTCACATCATTTGTTACGGGGTGTAGTTGTGTGCACAACTTGTCTTGCAACATGTCAGTTGTGTGGAAAGAAAACCGTGTTTTTATTTCTTGAATTTTACCAGAGTCATGTTTTGTTATGGGATTTTTTATTTTTTATTTATTAAGCATAATTATGTTACATTATCCAGTACAATACTAGCATATAAACCTCTAGGGGTTATCTACACTAGAGTCGTCTTATAAAAACAAAGATGTATTAATATTACTTACTTACTTACTTATCTTCACACACAATCCCTAACGGGGTAGCCAGAGAGAACAGATTGCCAAGTGTCACGATCCTTACAAACCTCTTTTTTTTGTATAAATATTAAATCACAATAATCCAGTATGATACTTAATACAATAAGTATGGTTGATTTATCAAATATGATTTAAGTTTACTTTTAAACAGTTTTGATTTACCGTATGTGTTTTGCAATTCTAGTGGCAAGGCATTAGTAAAAGTAGGTACAAGATGGGCCAACTTTCTTGCTCCATAGAAATTTTGAGTTAGTAGGAAGTACATACATGTTGGATTTATAAGCTATATTTCGTAGATTTACACGTCGTTTTCTAATAATTAGGTATTCTGAATTATTTACTTCAGTCAGTATATTAAATTTAACTTTATCGAAAACATTTATGACTTTGCAATAATTAAATATAACCCCGGTCATTATCTATATACTTATTTTTAATGTGCTTAGGTACTATCAATCTAAGCATTTTGCGTTGTAGTGTGTAAAGTTCATGTATGTACGTTACATAAGTTCTTCCATAACTGCTAAGTCCATAATTTATAACAGAATCTGCTAGAGCCATGTAAAGTAATCTAAGTATTTTACATGGTAGCTTAAATTTTAAAACATAAAGTTTACTTAACACAGAGCGAAGTTTTGCACACACATGATCTTTATGCGCTCTCCAGCAAAATCGTTTGTCAATAATCAGACCAATATACATGTGATTTTTGGCATTTTCAATGGGTTGACAAGTACAGTGTTGAAACATTCCGTGGAGACATTCATGGCCATGGGAAATGATAGCCGGTGCAGTGGTAATTTTGTTGTGAGATGAATGTGTATGAACAAGTTTTGTTTTTTGAGCAATAACCACTAGGCCGACATCATGTGCCCACTTGCATAGCATGTCATAACTTGCTTGCATTTCAGTTTGTGCTACATCCATACTACGATCGGCAATAACGATACAGGTGTTATCGGCAAATTGATATATAGAACCCTTAGTTATTGCATTAACCATATCATTTACAAATAACAAGTACTCAGTCGGGCCCAGAATCGAACCCTGTGCTGTACCCCGGTCAGTCACAAACATATCACCTGTCTGGTTACATATTTTGACAGTGGTATAACGATTATGATGATAACTTTTAAGAAGTTCTAAGAATGGTCCTTGAATGCCGCAGCGTGATAGCTCATTGTATAATGTGTCAAAATTCAATAGATCGAATGCTTTACTAAAATCAATAAATATTACTAAAATATGCATTTTATTATCTAGATAATTATTTATTTCATCAGTAAATTGCCGTAATAGTTGCGTTGTGCTTTTATTTTTTTGAAAACCAAACTGTTTTGAATTTATTATACTGTAAGTATTCAGGTAATTGTTTAGTTCATTGCTCAAATAATGCTCAATTATATTATTTAGGCAGGAGAGAATAGTTATAGGACGATAATTGTTAAAGTCATTATGTTTGCCTTTTTTATAGATTGGTCGGATTACACCTATTTTTAGTATGTCTGGATAAATGGACGTTTTAAGGCATTGATTAATTAAGTAGGTAATAAGTGGCACCATTGATTTAGAAATGTATTTTATATCACAAGTGCGAATACCATCATATAGATACTTCTAACCACTAACTCTGGTACTATTCTGCCGATCAGCAACACTTGAAAAGTGTACGACAAGGAAGCATAAGAAACTCCAGTCGACAAGTATCTTAATGCAATGGCAATTCTGATACTGATATGAGAGCAATAGCATTCCGTAGTATAGTATCCTGTTTGGCTATGGAAGGTCCGATCATTTGTTATAAAATTTCAAAATCAGATGTTGACATTAAAGTAAAATTCACAAAAGATCCGTCAGATACAAAGGTTTCGGTTTTTTTTTTTTTTTTCCTAGTTTGGCAACTTCCATTGGATTCTGCCAGCGTCAAGTATTTCATGAGAGTCACACAGAGTATTTACTAGTTTCCGTTTCCGTAGATGCGCTTACTTAACTTTATGTTACGAACTTACCTATGTAGTTATTTTCGAATGAATTAACATTATAATATTTTTACAAAATTATTACTAATATAATAATATGGATATAGGTAAGTGGCAAAGGTACTATAGTTTAATGTTATTAATGGATATGAAATCTAATAAAGTTTGAACAAAAGGAGTGAAAACTAAATTTAACAAAGACTTAAGATTTACTTAAGGTTTCGGTTTATACAAAGGTACTCTGTTGCACTGACTAGTGTGGCATGCAAAAAGTTCCGCAACATATGTCTTATGTCACGCGATATTCCACGTAGTAGTTAAGAAAAATGATGTGCAATATGCCGCTCTTTGCGTACCCAAGTATATCCTACTAGGCTTTACTTAAATGATAATACTGATTTTAGTGCGACCCAGGTTACCAGGCTAATTGTTATTTTTCAGGTTCTGGTTGTACTTGTCACTATATTTAACGCTACATCTTAGAACATATATCGGGCATCATAATGTATTTCTCCAGTGATAATAACAAATTACCGCAACTTCATTTAGAAATAAATAAATAATAATAAAATAAAACTTACAAAACTGTTCGTCAATGTCTTATACAAATTTTGGAGGCCAGTCACCTCTAGTGCAAACATGCGTATATTAACGCTTAAACAAATTCTACAAACTTCACCTTCATTAAAGGCCATTGTTGTTTTCTATACCTTTATTAAAATTGATTATTGGATTCTCTTTTTCATCAACAAGCTGGACTTTTCTCTTGTTATCAAAGAGTATAGTAACTGTCCTATGCTTGTTATTTTTTTTTTTTGGAGTTTATGGCCTGGTATCTAGACCTTTAGGCCAAGTCTTAAGTATTTTTATTCGGTTTATTGTAATTTCCCCACTCCTTCATAGTATACTGCTTCACAATATGTTGATGCGTCACATTGTGCAGTTCTTGGGAGATTTTGGCGGCAACTTGATCCAGCAGACAGCTGACAGTTGGCGATGGTATCTAAAGGTGCCTATGCAAACAAACAGCTTATCTTGAGAATCCATCACCATCAGAGCACTTGTTTCACTGTTTCCACTAATAGTTCACATGCGTAGACACTTAATACACAAAATCGCAACACTATTACATATCAAAGTCCACTTCAAACCATTATTTAAACAATAATACAGGAGCAGCAAACCGCCGCCGGTCATTTTTCCGCCAAAACTCCTTGTTATTATTACAAACAAAGACAGTGTTGCCAACTTCAATTAAAATTCACTACAGGGCCGGTCAACAGTGTGACCATCTTTAAAATACAGATCCTGCCACACTTTGGTTAAAAACATGCCAAATCCTGCCAAAATATGTAATGAAAAATGCCTAAATACTGCCAACTTTATTTAACATTTTATTAAACTAATAAAAGTCAAAATACACATATAAATGCTGTATTTTTTAAATTAAAATTAAACATATCTTTCGTTGGTTCGAATGCAATGCAATCGCCATGCTTGTTTAACGTACAAGATATACGCTACATGTTAGTTTATAAATCTGTTTCGTGTTTTTGTCTTAATTAAATTTATTTTAGAGAATATTCTTTCGCATGCTGAATCCACTCATATTTTGTTGATGTTTACTAGCCAATTTGCAGTTACATAGTCTGGATCATCTTTAGCTTTGGATATCACATGATGGAAATAAAAGATCTTGCTTCCACTTCGCTCTAATCGCCCTGTCTTATTTTCGCTTCATCACCGCCACCTATGGTGATAATGAAATCTAATTCTATACCAAACAAAAGTACGTCTCTTTTATGACTGATTGAAATATTAACCAACTCGTGTTAAGATTATCAACTTTATATACAATTTTTTTTAAAGTTGTTTATTGAATGTGATACAACCATAATACGAGAAACCGAGAAATACAGGGAAACCCCCAATATGCTGGCGAAGTATCTAGGGGTTACCATTTTCATCATTTTAAGTTGCCACGATGAAATATATTATTAATACCCCAATACTGCCAAATACTGCCAGGTTTTATAAAACGTCAACCGATCATGCCATAGGCTAAAATAAGAGGCCAATCCTGCCAAAATGGCAGGAATCTGCCACATATGGTCATACTGCCGGTCAACTTCCTAATAGCAGATTGGTACCGGGAGATGACCTTGGGGGGCTTTAAAGAAGCGAGATGGAATAATATCTATCTCCCTCGCACGTTATGTTATATTGCCATGAAAGAAATATTATTTTAAATGACACATCATTTTAATAATTTTTTTATTTAATAATTATAATACTTTATTATATAATATATTTCGTTAAACATATATTTATTACGTCTTTATTGAAGTAACAAAATGTATAAATATAAAACTGCATACTATAATAAAAAGGCAAGTTATGGCAACGGCAAATATACAAAATTAGAAATGGGCAATTCAAGAGAGTTTTGGCGGGAAATTGACCGGCGGCGGTTTGCTGCTCCTGTATTATTGTTTAAATAATGGTTTGAAGTGGAC